CAAAATATCTGTTATCAGAGTATTTCATATATTCGTTCAGGTGGTAAACATGTAGTCACCCTTCAAGAGATTGGGGAATCTAACCGTTTGTTTTGCACACAACCGACCGCGATATGCCATGACTTCTCCTTAGAGTAACGGTAAATCGCCGGCCAGCATCCTCCTGTTTTCTATCACCGGCAAATACGACCCCCAAGTATATGAATTTCTCTACTACTTCTCTGTTTATCTGAAGAGAGCAGCAGGCAGCAGAACGATAAAGCATCAGGCTTTTTCTCTGAGACACGTTCACACTCATGGGGAACGCGTATTGCTAGCAACTTTTCCAGAGAGCACTCTAAATCGGTTTCAGGAGGTTCCAATGAAACAAAGTCATTTGCATGCAGCAACCTTCTCGTCTCTACATCTACTACACCGATGTACTCATCGCCTTGTCTGCTCCTGATTATTCTATCCATGTACAACAAAAACACTAGAGAGGGCAGAACGCTCCCTTGGCGCGGCGGAGCCAAGTGCTAATATTGAAAGCTCTCCAATTAACGTCATTTGCTCTGACGCAGCACCTGCTAACAGCATATAATGACGGCATGGCCCCTAAGAACTAGCCATCAATCCCGTATTTAGGAAGTACGTCCACTGTTTGTTCCCTAGGATCCGGAATTAGTCTTTCTCTAGGTCAACAAAGCACGTGTTAACGGGATGAGCGAACTCATTTTATTTCTCAACAATTTAGCATTAGACGAAGATATTGTCAGAGGTGCTTCTCTCTAACCTGAAGCCACACTGCTCTTTTTACATTTTAGAGTCAACTATTTCGTGACATCTTTCCAACACCTTTGCGTAGATTTTTCCCGGGAAGCTTAATAAGGTATTGCCCTGATAATTAGAGCAGTCCCTATGGTTTCGCTTTTTGAACAGGGTTACTAGCATTCTGATTGTCAAGTATATCGGTATTCTCCCTATAGTTATTGCAGTTTGACAAACACGTAATGACTACCGCTTGCTTTGTCCGCCTGAAGCATCATGCATCTCAGGGCGATTTCATCGATTTTATCAGATTTGGCACTTTTCAAGCCTTTTACAGCTTCTGTAACTTCGCACAGAAAGACTCTGTCCTTTGCCTGCTTTATCTTCGGTGAGCCTTCTTACGGTTGCCCATGGATAACGAGCTCCTCACAGCACTCTCTCCTCATCGCCGATGT